GCGAAAGGCAAGGGACGAGTTAATCGACAAACATAAACAAGAAGCGGGACAATTCCACAGCATCTTCGACGGGCGTCAATCTCGAACCACGGCAAGGTGGACCTTGGCAATCGAGGTATTGTGCAAAGAGCTGCAGGAGCAAGACGGCTTGAAATACGCCGTGGTGGATGCACCATCCTGGCCGGAAAACGCTGTGCCAACGGTGGTTGAGTCCTAATGATATGTCATGAAGGCTTTTTTTTTTTTCAAAACCCGTTTACATCTAATGACTTGTCCGGTGATGGCGGACGTTATACCCCGTTTAGTTATGCTTTTACTACGACGAAATACTTTGACGCAATTTCTGATTCACCAACATATATACGAATTGCCTGGGCATTTCTTTGTTTCATTTGTCGGGTTTCAATCATAATCTTAGTTAATCAGTGACCATTCGAGACTCAGCATCGTTCGCCGTGGAGACCTGGTTGCAGGTTGTCCATATCTCATATCCGTCAATTGCTCTGAAGTTGCTTAGTGTCTTCACTGCAATCAATTCTTGATTCGTTGAAAGGTATTTATTTGTACAATTAACAAATGGGCTCTGTGCCATTACAGAGTGGGGAGGGAGTGGTGGGTAGAATAGTACCTCGTCTCTAATTGTCAATTGAGGGAAGAAGATGTACTCATGATGCTCCTGCCGTGCCGCAATGCTCATCTGGTGAAGTCTCTTTGGCTGAGTTATAGCTGCATAAGCATGAACAAAGATTCAGTGTGCTGAAAACCCAAGGAGCATTCCACGTCAAGGTTGTTCAAAGCCATTTTCCCACCATGCCAATTCCTTCAACTCGACAAACTCCATGATTTGTCTTGGCGATTCTGGATTCGCCGCGGCCGAAATGATGGATAGTTTTGTGGAATACAGGAACCTTGGCAAAATAATCACAAACGTGGTTGCGTCAAGTACTAGTTGTTGGGCCGCTGCAGACAGGCCAATTCGGCTGGACAGACTCGGTCGTTGCGCATGACTCTTCTTTGGTATTGAAGCGCGGTTTCATGGTCAAGATGGGGAATGATTGTCCAGTCGACCTCGGTATGAAACCCCCTTGGCAAAATACATAGTTATTAGAGTACTATCAGGTTCAGACCAAAGACACCGGAACTCGCCAAGATGTAGCTGCTGCCTGCGACTCTTGGGAAGGCGAGATGCCGATCGAGAACTCTGGGAGTTTTCGTCAGTGCGCGCCAGCCACCCAAGCACGAACACGATCTCAGAGACATAACAAGGAGCCTAATTATGGATTGATTCCTCACTGCTCAGTGCTCCGTACGTAACTGCCACCCCGCAGGGACGGGGGGGTGCCGGCATTTTCTTTGTTGCACGAATTACAAATATGACATATCGAGTGGGCTTGGACGATCAAAACCAGTGGTAATTCGTTTTGTTGGGCGGTGGCCAACATGAGAAACCAGAACATGACGTCTCGGTGTGATGAGCTAGGTACTATTAGTAGTAATAGTACTAGTACTATTACTAGGCAATTTGCCTCGCTTGTCCCTGACCGAGTGTGTACTGTCAATAGCTTCTGGAGAACAAGATTCCCCATGCATCTCAACCTGCAACTGCGAGGCTTCTCAACAATACCTAAACTCTTATCAGATCAGTGCACGGGACTATCGATACACATCAATTCTTCCTTCATTCACCAGCTACCTACCATTCATCCATCTATTGCGTCTTGTTAGATCTAGCCACCACAATCATGGGATGGAGAAACGTCTGTACTATTTTCTATACACATGTACACGGAGCCCAGAATACGTTGGCTCTAACAGAACCCGGGCATGGCAAGAACACGGTGCTCCAAGTAGTCCTCACCATCAATATTAATTAATACACCCCGCGAGACAAGCTTTCCAATAAAAGCACCCGTCGTCTGACGCTCATACTTGATGCCGTTATACATCTTGGCACGACGTATACTCTTACCCCTGCGAGGAGTTTCCTGCACAGCGCACATGTCGTCAAATCTCTGCACATCTTTCCATTCGCGGAAGAGCACCCGGCGGCTGGTGGAAGATGTAGCTGCGGCAGCCTCTACCGCCTGCCCTCGATGCATCATCCGACCATCTGCCTGGTTTTGAGCAACTCCGATTCCGCCATGTGCCAACCCCTGAGACTCCTTGGTTAAGCCCACGCCCTGCAATTGGCGCTCGCGAGTCCTAGTCTCGCAGTGAAGGGAATGGATAGGCAGCGGCCCAGTCCGGCCCCAATGCGCCGCGGCAGCTCCAGGTGAGGATCGGACCCGGGCAAGCCCGCGCTCGGCATCACTATACGCGATATAGCGCTTCTTGGACTTGACCCAATTAGGGTCCTTTGAGAGGCGGTACTTGGCCGCTTGTACGGCCGCCTCCTCGTCGCCCGGAACGCGGCCCCTGGTTTCTCTGGACTCACTTAGAACGCGGATATATTCCTTTATTTGCAGGTGATCCAGGCCGTGTAGGTGCTCGGAAAACTTGATTTTGGAAAACCTGATCCAGCACCTGCCGGAGCCAGGGGGCAGGGGGGACTCCTCGGCCAACGACTCTCCGTGTTTTGTTTCCGGCAGAACGTGTGTTTGTAGGCGGCCTACGGTATCTATGAATCCGGTGACGGCGTGCTTTCTGTCTTCTTGGAGGACCTGGGAGTCTATCCAGGTCCCGAGCTGAACGCCCTTGCTTTGGGCAGCACGCTGTCTTTCGGCGTGCTTTAGTCTTTTGTCGTCTAAATTAGAATATGCAGCGTCCTCTGGAGAGTATTCAGTTCCCTCGTCGAGATTGGCCTCCCAAGTTTGGCGCCAGGTTGACGTGCTTCTTAGGGTAACTCGTCCACGAGCCATGGCTTCGCTCTGCATGTTGTTATCGATATCTGAATCACTATAAAGTTCATTTCTTAGTGGCTGTTCACAATATATGTTTTAAGGTGGTGGAAAGTTAGCCCCAATAGGCCAGAACAGATTGCCTGGCAGGTTAGGCAAACGGGAAATGTCTATTCTAGGGAGCAAGACCCCGAGAAACCAGACAAGAACTACGGCACGGTACTCACACGACTGGTGTTTTGTTAGAAACACTGGTTTCTATATCAAGTCCTCCGAGAGATGCAGAAGCCGATGATGTTACTTGAGTTGCTACTGACACGGCCGAGACGTCAGTCAACTCAGATGCATGTAACGATGTCGAAGACTGCGAACTGGACTCGTTCGCTCTCGTACCCATGGCGAGTGGCACTCGAGCAAGAAGAAATTGCGATGAATGTTGAAACATGCTGCATAGTAGTTATAGCTAGTGAATTGTTGATACAATCTACACTGGCGGACTTTGGTAAGCTTACGACTTTCATAACGCGTCTTCGAGCATCAGGGGGTTATCTAGAATACCCGGCTTTCTCATCCGGTTACACTACCAACACAAGACGGTTAGGCAGCGGTAAACAGGCCGAACAAGCCGAGCAACGTACCGGCTGTGGTCCATTGACTACATATTACCTCAGTCGACCCCAACCTCCTGGTCTTCATACCCTGCTCCGTGTGCTTCACCGGGACTGCCCGTGCTTTGGGTGGTTACACGAACTCGAAATCCATTCTCTCCTGTCTTACAACAGCTAGCTTGTATTGGATGCAGCATCAGTTGTACTGGGAGGCCCGGAATTGTAAAGTCATCAATATTTCAGAGCTCTGAAGACAGCAATAGCCTTTGGTGTCTGAGGCCGGTCCAGCACCGGAAGACCCCGAAATCGAGTGTACAATGTGGTCTACGTTACCACTGCTTTCAGTCTCGTTGATTTTGTTCATGGTCCGTATTCTTTGACAAACATTCTGCTGGCCAGCCGCTATTTCGCTAACAATCATGTCCCGACTCCTGGCTTGAAACAACTGGCCGAGCTTACCGTCGTGAATCGGCCGGTACGATATCTGCATCGTTCTGTTGCGAAACTAGGTCCATCAGGCACGCAGTTACTATTAAAAAAATGGTGCACGGGCAAACATCCGCACGATACGGAGTACATTGACCCTGAACATTTCTACCGGTCAGCGACCAAGTCAGTGGACGAGCCACTGAGTCGTATTCGTTTCTCGACTTTGCTCCTTGGCAAACGGTTGTTTTCTTTTGGGAGCAAACCACTCCCCGAGACAACTCTGCTTGTCGGCGCGCGACTGGTTACCGGGTTTCGGCTCTTGAACGACTCACCACCCCCTAGTCAAATCCCTTGCTTTAGCTACTCCGTACCGAGTACTCCTCTCGGGTAATTTGAGGCCTAAGACACGACGCCCCCCCTTTTGCGTGGTCAATTCAAAGCCTCACCCGCCCAGCCTTTAGACAGGGCATAGAGATGTGTCCTGTACGGAATACGGCCTTTCCCATACCTCAAGATGCGCAACGTGAGGACCTTGAACTGTGTCAGTGGAGTTATGGACGAAGAACAGTCACAAGATGTCTGATGCTGGAGGGGCTAAAGAAGCAACCCAATTGTCATCCAGAAGGGGATATCTGAGATTCAAGGGAGAATATAGAAATAAACCGCATAAATTGCCAAATCTGCACAGGCCAATTTCTGCCCCTGAAGTGATGCAGCGATATCATTCATCATCATGTTTAACCTAGACACAGTACCTGCCTCAGGACGGGGCCAGCTTCAAAATTGTAGTCAAATGAATGAAATACATAGCATAAAATACGGAGTACGATTTGCATAATTCGGTCTTATGCACCGTCGGATAATAAGTTCATCCGGTGTCGATTTTCTCCCCTAGGCCCTCACCATCGGGGCTCCGTTTTGGGGTTTCTCAGTCCCCCCCACGTGACTTCCGTCGGTTGGCGTGGCCCACCGGCCGCCCACCACAGGGGGCAGTCGAAAACCCTGCTGAATAGCACAAAATAGCTGCGTCCACTTTCCACACGACCCAAGGGAATCTTTTTGCCAAAATTTCGCTTTTCAACACCACACGTCTCCCGTCGACAAATACAAAAGCACAAATTTCACAATGGATTCCTCAAAGGCCCCCGTCAAGCTGGTCAAGGTGACCCGAGTCCTCGGCCGAACCGGTACGAAAACAAAAGCCCATTCTCTCCTCTCCCGACATGTTGCAGGATGCCTGAAAATTTATTGAAATTCGGCTCTTGCTTGCCCCCGTCTGTGTGTTTGGATGACTACGATTTTCGAGAAATTCCGCTCGCACTACGCATACCACCCCCCAAGCAGAAAAATTGTTTCGATCGATCAAAAGGAGATTCGGATGTACTGGGCTATAGAGGCTAACATGTTGATGATAGGCTCCCGTGGTGGTGTCACCCAGGTGCGCGTCGAGTTCATGGACGACCAGACCCGATCCATCATCCGAAACGTCAAGGGACCCGGTATGGCAAATCCTTTTCCTTCTCACAGCGTCGCCATGTTCAGACCGCCGGCATGATACAAATTGAGTGATGGGGAGTTTGGCGCATGACTAACTCATTGTGCTGTGTAGTTCGTGAGGACGACATCCTTTGCCTGCTCGAGTCCGAACGTGAGGCCAGACGTCTGCGATAAAGGGCCAAGTTGCGGTGTTACGTAGGAGGGGTTACATGGAGCGACTATGAACGGATGACGAACCACGGTTGTTGTTGATATCAGAGGGCATGTGGGAGGCTTGTTTTGCAACGATGCAAAACAACTCAGGGTCGAATTCTTCGGGGTTGAGGCGCTGGACAATTGTCTTGCTTGACGGTATAAAAATGGATGTCAAGTTAGCATAGCCGGCAGGCTACCTGGTCGGAAAATAGCAAGGCTCGTTTCTCTTCACTGTGTTCAGGAATCCGAGCTCTGTTTTTCATCGGCATACAAGGACGGATTTGGGCATTAACCTATTTTTATTTTCTCTGTTGTATGTTGGTTTCGTGGTGCAGTGTGCTCTTGTGTTCCGGTTGCTGCGAGACAAAGATGAAGCACGGTTCATGGTGTGTCCATTGTTTGTATTCGACCCGTGCCGTTTCCGGTCTGGAACAGCTACTAACAACGGTAACGTGTACGCACGTGGTATTTGTGCTTGGAGATGGAAGGAAGTTGGATCGGTGTCTCTCTCTCACCTGGCAATTTTTTACCAGTACTCGTTACGGTCTACAAGGTTCGCCTGCTCAACGAGAGACTACTTGTCCACCCAGTTTATCAATTCAAGTCTGTAGTCCAAACAATGTTTGCGCCAGAAACAGCAATGTGGTGGCCCAGACACGAACGATCCGTCCCGAGTTATAATCCACAGGCGCGAGAAGTAATTTATTATTATTATTTTTTCCTTTCAAATTTACCCGGTGCTGGGCATACGGAGCATCCAACGTCTGTGCTGCTGGTCTCGGGCGGGAGCTTTGCCCGTAAATAGATGCAGATGATCACGTCAGGTGATAATTTCCCTGAGAAAAGAAAAAGTGGAACAAATAGGAAGCAAAAGTATATATGTACGTAGTACGGAGTAGTAGTACGTACAGAGCAGACGAGAATGCATGTTGGCTTCGAGCAATTGTCAAGTTGCCGACAATAGTCTGTCTGTCTGCCTGGTGGCTAAACGACAGACAGACAGGCTGTCGCTTCTTCAGCAAAGTCGACGAGGCCCGGCACATGGCAATCTGCAGAGGCCCTCGTGTATGATGTACTAGTAGTACTATTTATTGTCGAATGTGCATGGCCGTAGCCGAGCCTTGGCCCCAGGCCCAGTCACTTTTTGGTGGCAGGAAACGTGGCTCAGCCCGGCACCTTGTCGTCATCGCATCGCCAGGGGAATTCCGTGCTATTCTGGCGCAGGCTGTGTCGATCAGACGACAAAAATACGTAAGAGAGTAAGACAAGTGCAGTATGAAGCACCCATTGTGGTCTGGCGTGGCGTGTTCCAAGGTGCGCACAGGAGCAGCGGTACGAAGGAACAAGGCACCAAACGCGCAAAAAAAACAGGCTGCAGGCTGCAGGCTGCAGAGTCAGTCTGGTAGTGCAAGTACTTCGTACTACTCCGTCAGTGCAAGCACTTGAGCGCAAGGGGCAAGTGCAGATGCAGATTGATTGCCCGACCTTGGATTTGCACATCGAGCCTCTTGTAACTTGATAAACCCGTCACCGTCTCCCTCCTTCGCAGCCAAAGGCCACTGGCTGGTCTTGGTCAATCGGGTCGATTCGTCGTCCTTGTCAATTCGCATCGACTCTGGCATTGGTACTGGCATGGGCAAGGGCAAGGGCATCGGCTTCGGCACCGCCATCTCCAAACTACCAGACTACATACATAATACAGCTCGCCTACGCGTTCACATCCATCCATCCCTCCGTCCATCTACAATACTTGCCAGACACGTCGCTTCGCCTCCCACATCCGCGTGGCCGTAGACCTCTCATTCTTCCATCTCCATCTCTTCTCGCATCCTTGGCCCGAGGGTTTTGCTCCAGGGCTCAAGGTCTCTTGAAAGTGCTCAAGTGGACTGGCGGCGTCGGGCGGCGGGCTTCGTTCCACCTCGACGCACGAGGAGAGAGGAGCACCAGCAAGCACCAGTTGCACCGAGCAAACTAAGAACTGGACTAGTACCGAGTTACTTTAATTTGTTGCTGGTATCCGCCATACGTCGACAAACTGGTCAGGAGGCGCAAGCCGCTGCACCAACACCAGATACAACTCCATCCCACGACCTAGCTGCGAGACTGTTTGCAAAGGCCCTTGCGACGGATTGCTGCCGCAACGCAGCTATTGCGACTACCAGGGCGGCCGAGCGAGAAGGGCGCCCCTCCCCTCATCTCCTCAGCGAACGAGGGCTTTGACCTTGTACCTTGTGCCACCATGGCCGACCTGCGAAGCTCCAACGATGACGATGCCGTGCCGCATTCTCAGCAGCACCAACAAGACAGGCCCATTAGCTTGCCTGTCGACGAGCCCAGATCCTCACAACAAGACGCTGAGGCCACTGGCCCCGAGAACAGCTCAGATGGCAAACAGAGCGCCGAGGCTCAGGGTCATGACATCGAGGCGTCGGAGCAGGGACCTGGACCGTCGACGGCACCTCCAGCAACTGTTTCCGGAACCGAAGAGCAAGCCAAGCCAGCCGTCGATCCAACCGTGACGAAGCATGTCAACGATGTCATGGCTTCAGAGGTAACTACCGTCAACCCTATGCGCCTCCCTCTTGGCGTCCCATGCTAACAACGACCAGCTGGGCATCCCAACCCTGTTGAACCGACTCAAGCAAAGCGTAGCCTCGGCCAAGGAATTCGCCCTGTTCCTCAAGAAGCGCTCCGTCCTCGAAGACGACCACGCCCAGAGCCTTCGCAAATTGTGTCGGCTAACTCAGGACAATGCGCGCCGGCCCGAACATCGCCAGGGCACCTTCTCCAAGTCTTACGATGAGATGGTCTTTATTCACGATCGCATGGCCGAGAACGGATCACAATTTGCCGCTTCACTCCACCAGATGCAAGAAGACTTGCTGGAATTGGTGGCAAATGGCGAACGAGGGCGCAAAATGTGGAAGGCAAACGGTCTGGCTGCCGAGCAAAAGGTGGCCGACTTGGAGCAGGTGATGCGCAAGAGCAAGGCCAAATACGATTCTCTGGCTGAGGAATATGACCGTGCGAGGACCGGCGAGGCCAGACAAAGCGGAAAGATGCTCGGCGCATTCAAGGCGCACAAGTCTCCAGCACAACAAGAGGAGGATTTGTTGAGAAAGGTTCAGGCGGCTGATCAAACGTATTCGGGCCACGTTCAGTCATTGCAGGCCGAAAAGGCTCATCTTGAGAAGTCTGCTCGTCCCGAGGCCGTCAAGGCCCTGCGTGAGCTCATCTCCGAGACCGACTCGGCTGTGACACTGCAGATGCAAAAGTTTGGTGAGTTTGACTGAAGCTGTCCCGCAGATGGCCATGGTTATCTGACTTGAGGCTGACCCTTTTTTTGTTTTAGCCGCTTTCAACGAAAAGCTCCTGCTCGGAAACGGGCTGATTGTCAGCCCCTTCAAGATCCAAGGCGCCCAAGGAGCTGGCCAGCCGCGAAGTTTGCGCCAGGCTGTTGCCGCCATTGATAACGAGAAGGACTTCAACGACTTTGTTGCTGGCCAGCATACCAGGATCCAGCCCTACACGGAGGTCAAATATGAGCGCAATCCGGTATGTTCACTGTCTTTACCGTTATGGACGCTATTCACTGTTCTAACTCATCGCATCAGCTTTTGATCTCCAATCCATCGTCCGTCAGCCACCCTCTGCCCCAGAGTATGCACACTATCCAGTCAGTTGGAACATCTGGGCCGCCTCCCCCAGAAGGCCCGAACTCCTTCGGTGCAGGCTCAAGAAGCAGTGTCGGCAATTTTGGTCCCATGGGAAGCCTTATTTCATCACAGGGTCCTTCTGCATCGCAAGGTGGCAAGCCTGATCCCAACCGCCCGTATGCCCAAACTCACGGCCGCAGCTTCAGCCAGGGCAACATGCTGAGCCAGCAGGTCTCTGCCTTGCAGCAGCAATTCTCGAGCAGGAACTCGGCCCAACCGGCGCCGAGATACAGTAACACCGCCGGCTCGCAAGGACCGCCGCAACTTGGTGCTTTGCCCTTCCAGGGTTCACAACCATCTCCACAATCCTCGACACCGCCTCAGGGAACTCCGTTTCAGCCTCCAACGGATCCTCGCAGCAGCGGCCCTGCATACGGTGGTGTGCCCCCTCCGGCCTATGCCCCGACACCTGGGAACAACCAGTCTGCTGCAACCACAAACGCAAAGCTCGTATTTGGTGTGTCACTGAACCGCCTGTATGAAAGAGACGGTCTGGCCGTGCCGATGGTGGTATATCAGTGCATCCAGGCTGTGGATCTCTTCGGCCTGGGTGTTGAGGGTATCTACAGACAATCGGGCTCAGTAACCCACATCAGCAAGCTCAAGGGCATGTTTGATGCAGGCAAGTCCCAACACTGTACATTTACATATCGCTCACCTGCATGAACTAACCTCTGGGCAGATTCATCCGACCCCGCTCTGGACTTTAGAAACCCCGAAAACTTCTATCACGACGTAAACAGTGTAACTGGCCTCCTGAAGCAGTTTTTCCGCGATCTCCCGGATCCCCTCTTGACAGCAGAACACCATGATGCCTTTGTCAATGCAGCCAGTTCGTACCCTCTTTGTCCACATCATCCACCCATCGAAACTCCCCGATCGTCAGCCTGCTAACCGCCGAGTAGAAAACGAAGACGACGTTGTGCGCCGCGACTCTCTCCACGCCATCATCAATGCCCTCCCCGACCCCAACTACGCTACCCTGCGCGCCATGACGCTCCACCTCTACCGCGTCATGGACAACTCCCACGTCAACAGGATGAATTCACACAACTTGGCTGTTATTTTCGGCCCTACGCTCATGGGCTCCGATCCCAGCACGGCTATTGCCGATGCAGGGTGGCAGATTAAAGTCATTGATACGATTTTACAGAATACATATCAGATATTTGATGAGGATTAAAAACGGGACGGCGAGGTTTGTCATCATGGGGCTGCTGGTCGAAGATTGTTTTGTTTCTTGTTTTGTGCGGGGTTCACCATTGCATTTGGCGTCTTATTTTGTGTTTGGTACATTGCCAAGTGTATGATAATTGTCGGTAACGGAGGTGGTCTGTTGATAAGAGCAGCATGTTTATACATTTCTCAAAAACTCCCACCATCTTAGTGAAACAAATGTGCACAAAATATAAACGGATATGAGTAAAAGGTTCATATGCTCGATTGATGTTAAAAGTCTATTCATCCAAGATGGAAAACAAAAACCTCCACTCCCACCATGCTTGAAACAGTAAAAAAAAAAGAACAATTCCATTCGAACCAATGCCCGTCATCCAACAACGTAGATGCAAAAAAACGCAACTGCATGGCAGCATCTCAAGCGCCAACACCTCACCCATCCATCAATGCATAAACAAAAAAGCAGTCTCCATCCAGGAAAAGAACAAAGACAGCAGGACAATGCAAATCCCGATACTGATATATCACAAAAAGAAAAAAAAACCTCTTATGGCTCTTTTTTCAAAATCCCACATGAAATGTATGTTGTTGCTCTCGCTTGGTTCCCAGTTTGGTCGTTATTCATGGATATCCCGCAATGCGGGACGATAAACAAACAATTTGAACATGATGTAGAGCAAATAATGTAAAGTATGGAACTAAAAAAAAAAAAAAAAACATCAACACGCCAAGAGTGAATCAAAGATGCCTTTGGGTTCATTGAATCTTGATTGCTTCGAACAATCGTAGGCTGAGACTGGTGTCATTTTCGCCTACATTGGGTGTTGGTTCGCTGAGGATCTCCCAGCGACGGAGAACGAAGGGACTCAGTCTTTCGTTTAATGTCGGGCCGATGCCATACATGGCCCCCATGCCTCGGGCAGCGGCCGTGTACGGCACCGACGACTTGTCGCGGTGTACGAGCTTTAGGTTCTCGGCAGAGGTTGGTCGCGGCGTGCTGAAGAGATAGTACAGGCGTGGATCTGATGTGGTGCCTGCGCTTGCTGTGGTACCAGGCAGGAAGAGGATCGACTTGGCGCATTGTGTTCGTAGATCGTCTGGTAGGGCGTCTACTAGGAGTATCGCAATATCGAATATCTGCTGGGCAAGAGACCCTGCAAGTTCCTTCGGAAGAGTCTCCATCTCCAGCAGCAGACCGCAGAGCAAAAGGATAATGCGAGCCCGTACTTCGTGGTTGGGGGTCGCAGCGGTCTTCGCTGAGCTGCCGGGCCCTGCCGTGGCAATATGCGCCGGCTCTGAGCAAATGCTGTGCAGTGTAATGAATCGTAGCAGCGTAGGGAGCCAATGCCCCAAGACCTCCTTCTTGGCCATCGCTCGGTCCTCATCTCGCGACGTGACAATCTCCCACATATCGGACAGTTTATCAACCAAGTTATTAGTGAGCGAGGCTGATCTTGAGGGTGGCTGGCCGGAGATGATAGCCTCGATGACTCCGAGCAAGTTTTCAGCGAGGCGGATGCGATTCTCGTCCGTCGTGTCGCTGGCTAACGATTCCGATTTGCTCGACGGCATCAAATCCAAAAATCTCGTGTGAGCCTCTGTGTTCAGGCTTTGAGTAATGTCGTCACTAAGACAAGGCAGCATCCTCGTCCAAATGATGTTCTGAGATTCGATGGCTTTATCCATGGCCTTTGCGAACGCTTCAAACCGTGAAGGTGTCTCACCCTCGATAGCAGAGATGCTAGGCAGATTCACAGAGAGGTCTAGGTTGAGTTTGAGTTGACAAAACGGCATTGTTAGCTCATCCGCAAGAGACAGAATATGGTCAAACGATGGGTGGTGGTCGGAATCCGCTTCAGGCAATAAAAGTCTGGTGACAATCCTGTGCGCCAATGATGTTGCTCCCGGAGGAAGCGTGCTCATGTTCAACACTTCTGCGACTATTGCTGAATCGGCCACAACCATGAATCTCATGGTCTCCAAGAGACAATTCTGACAGGCCACATCATCAAGAGGGAGCTTAGCAGTTCGGCCGGGTATCTGGAGAGCTGAGTACTCAACAAGCGAATTGCGTATCAAAGCTAACAAGCCCTTCGCATGCTCAAACTTGGCGCGTTGTTGGTAAATTTGGAATCTATATGTTTCTTCGGCATCTAGCAACGCAGTTGCTGGTAACTTCATAATGATAAGCTGGAGGAGTTCTTGCAAATACGTCGCAGTCTTTGACGTTACAGTATCGGGAGTGATGTCCAAGGCCACGGAGCCAGCATTGGCAGTGTGCAGTATTGTCGACATTGATAAACAACCAAAGCTAACAAGGAGCGGGAAAAGTTCCGGTAACGGAGGCCGTTCCTTCAGGGTTCTGATGTGACTGATCCAGTCTGCCATAAGCTTGTCGAAATGAAGGGCGTCCAGCATTCGTAGTCGTGACAGAAGCGACGAAAATACCCTTCGACTGTCATCCAATTTTCCCCAGCCAGATTCCAACTTAATGATGACGTATCGAAAGAGACGATTCATAGTAGGGTGATCAATGACGTTACCACTGGCGAGGAGCTTATCGATTTGTTCCGAGACCTCGCCTTCAGCCGTTTGAGCTTGCGTTGCCATGCTATCCGAGACGGGGGAACAGGCGTCAATCGCGTTGGACCGGTCGTTCTGGGCCAATTCCTGTGAGAGTTGCTTTGCCAGGTCCTCCCTTTGTGGCAATCTTGCAGCCAGAGACGCCAGAGACGCGAGCAGCGAGCGAACGACTATTCCTTGGTCTCGACTCATAGCTTTCAGTCGTTCAATGAATATGTCAAAAAGAGTCTCTGCAGTACCTATAGCCATAAAGATGTCTAGCTGCGCGTCAATAGTGTCAACGCAGGCTGCGAGAGTGTCCACGTCTGGACCACTGGAACAGGCCCTGAGAATACCCGAAAGCATAGAATAATCTTCGACAGTCTCCATCATAGTGCGAACTGAGCTGAACATTGACAAAGTCATGACAAAGTCGGGCCTGTGAGGAGGTAGGGACGTTATAACATCATACAGGTGAGCTCCAATCGCACTCTGTACTGCCCAGCTGCTATTTCTGACTTTCCGTGATAGCTTCTTTAATGACAAAGGTCTCCGGAAAGGCCCCGAGCCGTTGAGATATGTTGCCAAGCCAAGGGAGCTGTCTACATATTGAAGCGCCGAGGAAATATCGTTGGCCTCATCACCAACAGAGTAATGTCCGGCACGCCTAAGGAGGCTGCCTCTCTGAGCCTTTTGTTCCTCTAGAAGGCAGTGAATGGGCAGCTCGACCAAAAGGCGAGAAGGACAAGGGCCCTCAACAGGATCGATTTCCTCAGCACCATGCAGGCCACCACGGCCAATGAGCCATTGCATGTACTGCGCGACTGAAAAGTGTCCGCTTCGTACTAGTTCGCCAACTAATCGAATAATGAGTCTTTTCCTCATCTGGTCACCAAGGGGTATGTCTCCAAGTGCATCAAGGATTGTCGAAGTAGCGTTGATCCTATGAGCGCCCCAGGATTTGATCAGCCCAGCAACAACATAAACCTTGGCCAACCCAGGCCGGTGCAGAGAGGTAGCCCACTCGACTGCTGTTCTCAATATCCCAGCTTTATCATCCGCAGACGCCCAACATCTTGCAGACAGTCCAGGATCACACTTGCCCTGAAGTGTGGAATCTAGCAACTGTACCAAATACTGACGGCCACTGGGTGGTGAGGTTGTATTGGCAACTAAAAGCCTTATATTCCGTAACTTGACGGTATTATACGCAGCCTGGGCGGCTGCGTCCTCAGTTGGCATCACAAGCCTCAACGTCTCGCCAAGTCGTTGCCAAGCAGGAGGGCAAACAAAACTTTCGGGATTGGTTTTGAGGAGATAAATGACTAGCGTTGACAGTTGGCTAGACAGTTGAATGAGAATATCTCTGTCCGGATCATTTTCAATCTATATTCAGAAATTAGCTTCTCGTCTAGCCCGCAGTGACATGGCTTGTCCGTACCGTATTCAAATGTTTTAATAATGCAAAGACTAAGCGCCTGCCACATTTTCGTGACTGTAGCAGGTCATTCCAATATATTTGGCCAATTAATATCCACATAGGGATTCTTGACTGCGGGCTGTTTTCCAGTCCAGAGATGATCCACTCCAAGTAATGGTCGCGATCGAGTAGTTGCTCAGAGTATAGACATGTTGCAAGACGAATTCTGTAGTTGTTGAATTAGTACCTCCAACGTCGATGATATTATACAGCAAACAAGATCCAAACTTACGCGTATGTCACTTTTGATTTCCAGTCAGGTTCGCCAAATGCAGACACCACCGATTCAATGAACTGTTCAACGAATACAGTCCAATCCCGGATCCATTTCAACTCGCCTCCCAAAACGAATGCTCCGCTGGCTCCTTTCCTCTTGAAGGCTCGGATCTCGTTGGCGCCAACACATTTGGCCAACCAGACTGCTCGCTCTGTAGGGACGTCCTTGTTCAAACATTGGTCAAGAAGTGTCCTGCCCCGAATACCATGTGGGATTGTTCTGCTAAGACGTCTGAGGGATATGGCTGGATTTGCCAAATCCTTTAGCCATATTTCCCGCTTTGTATCCGTAAGTGTGACTCGAGGCGGAGGTTTAAAGGTTGATGGGGCTGTGATTTGGCCACGAATTCTCCGTTGGTTCAACACGCCCATGAATAGAGTAGATAGAGCATTGAGGCCGCTCCTCTGCTTCAACGCTGGAAAGATAGCAATTCGTGCTGATGACGCCTCATTTTGACTACCTCTATCCCACGTGCCCTTTTGTATAGCCTCGGTGCTCCATTCATCCTCATGATGATTGCCCGACCAGGGAAAGAAGTCCGCATTACCAGAAAACAGGCCCTTGCTAAAGGGATCCCGGCCTATGGTCTCATGTCTATTCGTATTTACGTATCGAGGCGCCGCTGTAGGAACTTCGACTGTGTACGGCTTCGGCCGCGCGTCTTTCTTAGTGGAGGCTGGTGTTGGAGCGGCCGGCCGTGTGGAAGGTATGGCCTGCGAGGTCTGGGGCAGTCGGCGCCTGGGCATTGGCATAGGAGGGTTATCGCTATCTTGTTGTGAAACCCTTGATAGTGCCGGACTCATATTATCCGTCTCCATGGGGTCTGGAAGAGGCATCATGCGAGACGGCGTGAGAGTCTGTGGTGATTCGGTAGCAGATATGGGGCCAGCTGAGATCAGTTCGTTTGACAGTTCGAGCCGCAACTTCGAGCCTTGCCGTCTTGGAGTGGACACATGACGGCCCGACATGGCCTCGGCGGGTTCGGCACTGGAATCGAGGGCTGCGCTAGCATCTCGCCGGACTGGTGAAGTTGGAAGGTATTGTTGTTGCGACGACGATATACTCCGTTGGTGATGATTGGAAGGTCTTTGGACGTGTAACGTGGAGCCGAGGCCTCGTTGAGGCTGTCGCGGCTGGACACCCATTGGCGTCCTCGAGCTCATAGCTGACAGGGGCGAACGGGCGCCATCCCGACGAATACTTGAATATGTGAATGTTGATGTGGTAAAACGTGGGAGTATAGAGGCTGTTGGGGGCCTAGCGACGAAGCACGACGTCCCGTTCGGGGGGCATGGGTAGGTTTTTGGCAGATATTCCGCCGCTCGCTACACCACGATGGAATAACCGCGCCGAGTGCGAATGGACGAGATCCCGCCCTGATGGTGTGTCACAGCCAAGGAGGCACAGAACTGGGCACGGAATATCGATCGTGAACGAATTCGGCGTCTCAGTCGGAAGCACAAAGAGGAAAGTGTCGGGGATGTCGACGTGAGGCCAAGAAGTTTGTCGTCGTGCCTAGTGGTTGAGGCCGGCCGTTGCATGAGAGGAGGTTAAACCAGTCTGGTCGCAGTCGCAGGACGTTTAGAGTGGGTATTCGGGGGTGCGGGTGCTGGCGGGCGAAGCGAACGAAGCAGGAGCGACACGGCGACACCCAAGATTGGACAGTGTCCCAATAAAGCCAAGAGGCAAGAGCGGGAAAGAGCGAGAGGGTGTGTGGGCTGCGCCTGCGGCGAGACGACGCGAGCTGACTGGGGCTCTGGCAGCGCTAAGGCATACCCACGTCCGAAAGACGAGGCACGAGTAATAATCTCGTCTGCTGGCACAGTACTCCGTACGGAGTAGGAACCACTACGGCTTCTCACGAACTGCGAACTAAGCTCGGCCAGTCGTCCACGGCTCAGGTGGCGTGTGGCAGGAACAGTGGGTGTGGGCTCCCAAACTGTGGACTTGGGCGTCTTGGGCTGTCTTTGCGCCCGTCAGGGTCAGGGAGCGACCGGAGTTGGAGAACGGTAACCTGGGTGACACCGACAGAGGGACACAGCGGCCGCACCGACAGGATCACTCGGCCCAAGCAGTGCTCTCCCCCCGAAAATGAAGGAACATATAACCAACTGCGTACGTACCTACCTAGGTGGTACCCAGAGTGGTGTGAGGGTGGGTGACTGGGGAACCTGGCGGAGTTGGGAGTATCGAGAACACGCGAGACTCCGCGAGAGGGTAAGGCTTGAAGGCTTCAATGGCTTCAACAGCCACGATGAGGCCGGAGCGAGATGACCCCATCGACTCCTCTCGGCAGACACTATGGCCAACTGCGCAAGTGAGAATTCCCCTGCGACATCGAGCTTGCTGTCACACCCAATCGAATCGCTGCCGAGCTAATCTCCCTCCCACCAGACATCTAGAGACTGCATGACAGATCATTCCTCATGGGCAACTAGACCAAGACACGTACACAACCTTGTATGTATGTACGTACGTACTCCGTACATGGAATAACTACGGAGCAATACTAGTGATAGTGTCTAGCATCCTCCTCTGCGACACAAATACTAATACGCTCTGAACTCTCAAACACCGGCCCAAGGAGATACTTCCATCCGCCGCTAGCAGAGACGCCAGTTAATGTCAATGCGATCGATCTGCAGAATATCCGTCGCCAAACGGGGGAAAGAGACGGCGGAACAGTAACAGTATACGGAGTACGCAGTAACAGTCTGAAAACTAAAACTACCGAGGACAAAGGACACTTTTTCAAAAGTAGCGTGCCATCTCCCAAGTGCCACACGACTCAATCATCCACTTCGAATGCCGACATCTGTGCGACTTGAGGCAAGGGAGAGGACAGGGCACCATTGGAATAGAGACAGTATTAGAACACCGCCCGAAGTTGTTAGGTTGCCGGCTCCCGAACCCGGCCTATTGTCAAGCTGCATTCTCTGGCAAAATACCTACCTAGGGCATGTTTGCCTATCGCCACGTACCTAAGATGTGCAGAACACTGCAGTGCAGTGGCTACAGATCTTTTGCCTTCCACCACAAGAAGCAAAGCACCGAGGGGTGGTCCTGTCAAGCACGTTTCGAAGCTGAACACGTACAACTAGATGCGCCGCGGCCATTGGGAGCAAACATCTTGCACAAACCAGCTTCTTGACTTTCAACGTCTAACCTTGTGATGTTGAATTCCTTCTGCCGCCTTCACTACGGAGTACTCCGTAATAGGTCGAGAAATTGTCGGGGTCCCCAGTCTTAGCACCCAAGCTTTACCCCCGTCAAGACGTCGTGCCACCGGGGCTTGCCAATGTCGATTGTTTGTCAGAATCGCCGCCACCGCCGCGGACAAAGGCGACTCTCGACTCTCGACTCTCGACTCGCCATCAGCTCCGGGCGCTGGGAATCGGTCATTCGTTGCCACGCTTAGCACGCCCCCTCCCCATTCATCACCGACTTCTGGCCCTGCGACTCAAGTTCGTGGCTTGCCAGGCTGGCTCTGCGGCCAAACGCAGGTCTACTTTTCTCAACGTTGCATTTCGAGCCGACTGCAAACAAGCCCAGGGTCGTTGCTGCAACCCGCTCTGACAGAAACATGCGCAGGAGGAAATCCATACACGTACGGAATACTTGGACCGACTGTGGAGTACAGTGCATGGCAAGAGGGCTGGTGTGTAATTTGCTGACTACTACTTTGCATGGCGTGTGTCGGTTGGGCTCGCCCGGTGCAGATGGGAGATGCTTGCCACTTGCCTCTTGGCGTTGAAGCAAAGTGTCTAGGGCGGCAGCCATGCAGGTGATGGTTCAAATTTCAAGTTAGGATATCATGAGAGTTGCAAGTAATGCCTCTCCAAGAGCAGTGGTGCTCATGATCCCCCTTCAATTGAAGGGTAAAGAAATTCGGTGTCGCGGGCTATTGAGGCGAGGCGTCTGGCCAACATGATGCATCATCGCCATCCCAATTGGTCCGCACCATCTTACCCCGAGACGTTATCTCCGGCAAATATATTTTGTGGCCCCCTCGGAAATGTCTCTGAGAAGGTGCAAATCTCGAGATCCATTTGTGCAAGGATGCTAGCATAAGCTGTCTCAGCCATGGACGCCGGCAACCTCTCGAGACGAACGGGACACGGAAGCTTCCAGCGAAACAATAGCGGCGCCACCACCCAAACCATGATATCACCCTTGCCATAAGAAACGAGCTCAGGCCGTTATCTTTGCAGGACATCCACTGCCGTTCAAAACGTGCGTCTAGGGAGTATTGCTTGCTTTTTCTCGCAAATGCAGGGCACAGGCCTATGGAAATATATGTAGTACTACATACGGAGCAAGATGCCCGTGGTTTTGCTGGGTGGCCGGGTAGAGAATCCCGTGTGGTGGTACGGAGGACTCCGCAGATTGTTTCTTCATAGATGCCATGCACGTGTAATGCTCTTCATCTGCCTCTGCACGATAGCTACTGTTTATGAACGTGCCTGGATTGTGCCCAGCTGCACGGATGCTGACCGCATATGATGTTGGTTGGTTCTTAAAAATAGTCTTCCACAGAGTTGTCTAGATGAGGGTAGGGCCAATTATTGTAAGCCATTAGGCATTTTGCATAAGACGGGGATCAGCGCGGCCTGCTGGTTCGCTTGAGCCCGAGCAATACGAAGACACAAGCTACGAAATTCCGGCGACTACACGTTGCGTTTTCTGTGGTGATATTCTCGAAGACTGATTTCGTCTTCCATGAATAGTACGCCCACAACATTGCGAGCCGCCATCACCGTGAACAAACCAAAGTGATACGGAAGCTGGATATGGGAGATGTGCGAAATGCTGCTTCGTTTCAATACGCAAACTACGGAATACTTCTGTACAGTATTGCTAAAAACACAAAAGGGAATTTATGGATAATGACAGTGCTCATAATGCTGCGTAGGGCAAATATCACGTCGCGACGTCTCGTTTTCTCACAATCTAGCCTCGGGGCGTTCACATCATCAGAGAGCACACTAAAGCTCTTCAGACTGATTAGTATGCCACTCATCCCAATCCTTCTTCTCGCCGGGAAGCTCAATCGCCTGCCAGTCCTCCTTGGTAACCCGCTTCCATTCCTCTACGGGGATCCAGCCAATGTAGGCTCTGTCGCCGAATCCTCCAATCCAGTACACGTGCGTCACTATCAGCCTCATCCACTCGCTCGTGTGAATGGGGTTCCCCGGGAGCCAGTACTTGGCATCCCGGTGCTTGGCCGTGTAGCAAGCAGCCAGCTCATGGGCCTTGTTGCCGTCTGTCTCAATCTCCTCCAGGTAGCCAAAGAGAGAGAACCGCGGCAGGTTGGCCGCCGAGTAGGGCACCGTGTCCGGGAGCTCCGTGTGCTCCCGCTCAGAATCGTGTGGGCAGTGCCGCGGGAGAAAGGGCACCCAGGCCGCCAGGCGAGACAGGAGGGACAGGCGCTTGGCCGGCGGGTAGGGAGGCGTCCACCTCATGGACAGGGTAATGTTTGAGCCTGCGCGGACGTTCTTGAAGCTGGTGCCGATCTTGATGGCGAGGATGGTCGGGTTGCCCTCGTCCTCGCAGTCGGCGACGTAGTCCATCAGGCCGATGGGCTGGCCCTCCATGCCGCCGGGGCGGATTTCATGCGTAGACGTCTGCTGGAAGACGGTCGACAGTGTTCCGAGCTTGGTCAGGGCCAGGACGCGTCGGCCCATGACGGCCGACTCGTAGCTGCTCGGGATCCTGTACGAGTCGGCAGAGTTGTCCAGTATAGAGAGTGGCGTCTGCGCGGCGCCGACGACGCCGGAGAGGCCTGCGATGGTGTTGAGCAGCTTCATGGTGATGGAGGGCCTTGGCGCATGTGATTGCACGCTAGGTTTGGGTGAAACAGTACAGGGACACGTAGATGCACAGCAGGACGTCGACGGTGTGCCTTCTCCCGTGGGGTGCAGGTTCTCCGGCGCGATATTTATACTGCTAGGAGAACGGAGTCCGGAGCCCTGACAAAGGATCTGAATGTCCGAAGTGGTATGAGGTGGTATGAGGGGGTTAAAATTCTTTGTTGGCCGAGAGTGGTGCGACTGGGGAACCGACCCCCGACTATATCTGAGCTCACCTGGTTTGATCAAGTGATGCTGGGAAGGTGGGTGGGGAGATTGATAAGATTAGATGGGCG